TCTAAAGGATGCTAGCAGTAAAACGTTGTAATGAGGGAGTAATAAACTGCTCAAATTTTTATTCAAGATGAGTTGGAAGTAAGGATATTACTTAAAATGGCTGCCATTTTATCACATCGTTCCCATTTTTAGCCATTTTGAAAAAAACTCTTGTTAATGCGAATTTCAGGTGGCTAATCGACTAGAATGAAAGAATAGACAATTTAGAATATTCCTGCCAAATTTCATGTTTGTATCACCAAGTGAACTATTGAAGCTGTTAGCCGCTACACTAATAAAATCCCTTACCTTTTCATGCACATTCTGACGGACAGAAATGCTCGATACCCTGAAGTGATGTATGGGTTCCCGCGAAGAAAATATGGAACATCATGGTAATCATAGAGTTTTACAACTTTAGATTCCAGAAGAAAAGAACTTTTGGAATCAGTTGTAAATCCTCTCTCGTTTAAGTCTATTTGGAAGCTTGACATCGCGTTAATAAACTTGAGCCTTGAGATTTTCTCCAATTAATAAACTTCGATCGAACATCGGTCAATCCTTTGGGATATTTTTTCCCCTTTTTTTTAAGTCTACTGTTCAACAAGCAGGGGTGCTATTGGTTATGCTCCTGATGATAGATTTGATCTGGGAAGCCACTCCATCTAACCAACATTCCTCTGTAAGTGCTAACTAAACTGAAAATTGTGAGAATTGTTAGTTGTTGTCGGGCGCAGATTTCGCTTCTCTCGTGACTCGATCTCGTGACTGGCTTCGATTCCGGTCATCGCCAAATTTGGTCAAGTTCTCCAAATATAGATCGTCACTGAGCGGAAATGGCCTCGGAATCCTCACTCGGTGATCGGAAGCAAGTGAAGAATTGAATTTACATGAAAACACAGCTCCACGATAAAACATGTCTACGATCCGAGAAGGGCATCTCAGAGATCTTCCTCATCCAAGTCTAAATGAAGTTCTCAAATCTAACACTTACAGCGCTATCAAACTTCTTAAGACAGGTAAAGTGTGTGACTTCATAAATCGCATTCATGTGTAAAAACGTTACCGTATAATATTTGGTGTTAAAAATGTCTCACTGATTTTCTGTTGCCGCCTGAAGTCTTACTTAGAGTCGATCATTTGGTTTATAACCTTAATCGACGTTTCGTTTCCGTATCTGTTATCTTAAACGGATGAAATAACTCCTTTAGACTGGAATTAAACAACCGAAGAAAAGTAACTTACATTTCATAGGAAAATATTTAGCTACTCATGATAGCCAATTATTCTTAACTTAGAGATATGGTTGTTATTCTAAATCAAGGGACATTTTTAGAAGTTTTACGCGGAAGTTATAATTGAAGTCGAGTCTGTGAGCAATGATAGGTTAGTAACAAGCTATTTGTTAAAGTGTAAGCTAAAACATCGCTTTCATACGGCCTAATGTTAGCAGCCAAATTTTTACACCATGCAAACTTATATTGACAAGCTTACCTCGGCCTATATCCGACTGAATATGAAGTGTTGTGTTGAGATTATCGCCTTCTAAGGAAGCAACAGCATGTTTAACAACACGTAAGAATAATCAACCATTTAATTGATAATTTATTACATGCCATTAAAAGCCTAAAATTCTTAGATTATAGAAAAAATTAAATAGCACTCTACATATGCGAACCACCACCACCACCAACAACAACCATTTTATTTTGCATTATACGTAGAATATCATTCAGCAAAAGAATACATTAAACTTAATAAGCAAAAAAACTAAGCAAAATAGTAAGAACTAAACGAGCTGAGTAGTTTTGAGAATTATTACGCTTTAAATCAGTTGCAGGAAAAATAAAGAAAAGAAGAGGTAGAAAGAGAAAAAAAAATATGTAGATATAAATATAAAAAGAAATATAAGTAGTAACAGTACCAGTCATAGACAGAGCATTGTTTAATTAAGAGCGATAGTACTAAACTTGCATTAAGCAAAAGAACTTAGGAATTGCTTAGTCAAGGTTTGTTTAAATAAATGCGGAGATAAACTTCTTATCTCTTCATCCAAATTGTTCCAGATAGAAGGACCAGAGAAATGTACATTGAGAACCAATATGCAGACATTTATTTTGGACTTGATTTATAATTTGGTTACAGTTACAACTGCAATTTTTAGTGAAAGCTGTTATTTCAGATTGAAATATACATAAGAAATAATGTGGAGAACCAATTCGTTTATTAGCTTGCAGACATTACTAGCTTATTAGACAGAAACAGATAATTATTAATTAAAATTATCATATTATATTCTGTATTTAAATGTTTGACATATATGCAAAATATGCGGGCAGTATTGAACAGGGATTATGAAAAGGAAACCTGGTTAGCGTAACAATTCGATTTAGTGCCAATTTCCTTAATAGCTTAAAGTGCCACCTTTCTAATTTATTAATGTCCTTGATTGCTGTTTTTTCAATAAGCGCCCCCTTCTACATGTAATTAGCACCCTACATGGTGAACATAATATTCAAGACACTGAATAGTTTACCGGTAATTTGAGGAATGAACTATGAAATCTGCTTTCTCATCTGAATGCAATATTGAACAGTTGCTGAGCTGAGGTGTCATTGATATGTTTTTTACTTCTGAAAATTTAGTTGGTGAATTTGCCCACAAGGTTGCCTCCCTTAAAGAGCAGTTAGGAAACCAGCTGCTGTCTGTTGTGGAATCATTCCGGAAGAAGAACACTGAAATGAAGAGAGACAGGTACAGGTGATAAGAAAGAGACTTGCAAAACTCATTAAAAGGAGATTTTTCAAAGTACAAAGTCTTGTGAATGCAATCAAACCTCTCCACAATGGTCACCTTGGGAACAGAGAAAAGTGACCATTGAAGAGAGGTGGTAGTTAGTAGAGGGTCGAGTACAACATCATCATCATCATCATCATCATCATCATTATCATTGTTTGTCTAATCTCCTAATAGAGAATTGGGTTATTAGGCTCTCTTCTTGCAGACTATCCCAGTATCCTCTGCGGCCAATACTGCCAGGTTCTTAGTCCTTTTTTCTTTTTTACCCGTGATGGTTCTGTCAGGTTTTCCTTTTAAAAATTATTTGCTAGTATCTATTTGTGCAGGCAAGGGTACCCTGAGAATATCAAAGCATGTTACACAAGAACACAACTCATTCCTCAAGGATTTTGTGGTCAGAGCATGAGTTCGGCTACAGATTGCTTGATCGTTTTAGAATCCAGCACTGCATGTATCATGTCACTGTGCCACAACACCTGTCATTCATGATGCTGTTTTGAACGCCTCAAATGTATTATGCACTAAACCACACAGACTGTGGCTAGCGCCATATTTGTAGAGCTCTATTAGACAGTTCAATGTAGAAAATAATACAGGCCTGGGTTGTTTCTGTTTCAATTATTAATTTTCTTGTAACTAAATTTTTTTTCCCTTAGATCTGCTTTAAGCAGTGCTTTTAGTTGCTGGGAAACCCTGCTTGGAGAATATGAAAAACAAGCACAGGTCAGTCAATGAGAAGCTGTCAGTAAACAATCAGCCAGCTATATTTCTACATGTATGTAAGCTAATTCACTTGAATGTGGTATTAAACAGGATGTTTAGGATGGAAAATGTTTAACTTAGTGTTTTGACTAACTTTTCAAACATCACGTTTTCATTCTAATCAGTAATTCATTGGTAGGTCATTACTTTCTACAGGATATGTTGAAGATATCATCGAGTCTTGCAAGACAAGTCAATACTGCAGCTTTTGAGGAGGTTATCAAGAAAAAAGCTGCCACAAAGAAGGTGTTTTGCTTGCCTTTTGTTATCTACCTATATACATGTACTTAAAACCTTTTTTGAAGCCAGGCTTAAAATGGAATGTAATGTCATCACAATTTTATTATATTTCTAAAAAAAGAATATTTTTAAATGAATTTCATGGGTGTGGGTGTGATGTCTGTGGGACCTTGGCCCTCAAGTGAGCACAGTGGCAAACAAGGCTCAATAGGGGGATTCATGCTGAACTCATTGTTTACATTTTTGCTCATTCGCATATAGCTTTGCATACAGAAGGAAACATGTTAGATACAAATTGATTCCAGGCAGCTAAAGGAAACTTAATACATGGTGAAATTTTTAGCTCTTTGGGTGTAGTATTCAGGGAGATACTGTCTTTCAAAAACTACAAAATTTCTGGGTGGCAAAAGTGCTTATGAGCTCATACAGTCTTTGTAAAATATGAGTTTTTAAACCTGTGTTGCCTTGTTGCACAAAAAGTATTCAATACATCAGGCTCATATTTATTGGCAGGTTTAATCAAACTATGACCTTTCGATATTCAGAACTGATTTATTTGTAGCTCCATCAGAAACTGAATTGCTTATTCTAATGAGGCAAATATTGTAAACAAGGATTCCCCTATTGGATACTAAGATTGAGTTAATACTATACATAAATGCATAATCTTTTTTAATGATCGAAAAATTTTCCAGATATTTTCGTTCAGAGAGAGTGGTGAAAATCAGATTGAAAAGGCGGATGAAGTTTTACAGAAGGTGTGTTAACATGATTGTTTTGAACAACAGAACAATAAAATGATATAATTATAAAAAATAAGATGGGCAATGGGTCAAATAGGTCTGTCAGTTAATTGACTAACAAGAAATGTGATCAACAAGGCTTATGGCTAACTGTGGCAATTACTTGTCAGCAAAGAATAATTTATACTAAATGTTAATAAATATTATTTTTATTAGTACTTCTTACATGGCATTCTTACCAATATAAATAATAATTGTAATAATTATCAATGGACTTTTCCTTTGAACAAAAAGAACTCAATGGAAGACAACTTATGGAAGATGTGTTGCATGTTGGTAAGTGGGTGTACACACACGAGTTAAGTAAATGTGTTTAATAATTAGTACTTTCCTTTTATATTCTGATCAGTGTCATAAAGAATATTCAGAGGCTTGTTCTAAACTAGCAAAATTACAAAGCACTGGAGCAGAAGCAGCAAAGGTATTGTACATGATCTTCAAAGTTGCTGTTTGATTTTCTGAGTCTTTTCAGTGTGTTGTTCAAAGACTCACTACACTAATTGGTAATTTTAATGTTTTTTTACTTTGTTTTTTTGTTTTAGCAAGAACATGTTCAGACACTGTGTCGCAACACACACAATGCCTACGTACTTCAGCTTAATTCTGTCAATAACATGAACAGGGTGTTCTACTCGTCAACACTTCCACAGATGCTGAATGTAAGTACTTTAAACTACAAAAGTGGCTGTAATGTAGGTACACCTGTAGACTCAAATAACTTCACTCTACTCTGTCAGCCTTATAAGGTTTTGGTTTCTGAAACCCAAATTAACTCCTCAGGCAACCACTAGTGATTTAAGGATGTTTCAGTCAGTTGGTCGGTTGGCTGATCTGTCAGTCCACCGATCAATACATTAGTCAGGTGAGTGTTACTGCAGTTAGTCTGCTAATCAGCAGGTTGATTGGTCAGTGAGTCGGTTAATAACTTAGCCAACCAGTCAATTACTTACTAATAGCCAGCCAGTCAATTCTAAAGGCAGTCAGTCAGCTAGGCAGTCAGTCAGTAAATCAATTATTTACTAGCTAGTCAGTCAGCCAGCCAGCCAGTCAGTCAGTCAGTCAGTTAGTCAGTCAGTCAGTCAATTATGTACTGTCTAGCTAGTCAGAAGAGTCAGTCAGTCAGTTTGGCAGTCAGCCAATCAGTCAGTCAATCAGTCAGTCAGTCAGTCAGTCAGTCAGTCAGCCAGTCGGTCANCTTCAAAAATTTCTTCACTTCCTACTAAATTAGCATCATTCAATAGATTTGCTTAAGGCAAAATATGAAATGAAAATCTGAATATATTAAATGTAATGGTGCCAAACCCTCAGAACCAGGAGTGGTTAAATTTGCAATCTTTAATTTACATCCAAGAATTTGCAGAGGCTATCCTTGAACAACAAATAGTGCCAAATTTTTTTCTTCTCAAAAATATGAATTTATGCAAAAAGCACTTTCAATTTATTCATTTTTATCTTGATTATTTTATTCACTGTGTTGGCAATTTATTCTATTCCTAGATAGTCAGCAGCGTGCAAAGATTGGAAAGCATACAAAATATGTTCCAGCTCATGAATACTAGGGAAGATATCTCAACGTTTGTACAAGCTAACAACCCAGGGAATTATACCTCACCAGTCAAGAGTTTTCACAAACCAGAGGAGAGCCAGGCATTGGTGAGGGAAACAACCTATTTAATGTGGGTTTGCAATGACATTTTGCGATAATTAATAAACTAGTGTGGGTAATAAAATGGTGACGAGTGAAGTTAAGAAATAATTTCACATGCAGTTTGTCAAAATTCTTAAATTATTATTATTATGAAATTATTAGAATTTTGACAAAACTCAAGTGAAATTATTGAACAACCTTATTTCACGAGTATACCATTTGATGACCTTTAAATATCATAGGTGACAAATTACACTTACAATCATGGGTTTTTTGTTTATTGTACCGAGAAATTTTGCTCCAAATGTTGCCATGGCAATTTTATAATTTTCAGAAGCATGTGAAATTGACTTAACGCTGAAATTTTGCACCAAAATTAAGGAATACTTTGTCACCCTTGATATTATAAGTGAAACATGTGGTAACTGGACCCTGAACATTAAAATCAGTGTCCATTTAGGAGAGGTATCATCCTGCTAGCAGCAATGCTTGTGCATGTTATTGAGCGTATACATTTCAATCAAGCCAGGGCCAGCAGGGAAGTCTTGAGCAACAATGGCCTCCAGATTCTCAATCCAGAATATACAGTGCTCATCCAGGAAAAACACCTGTTTTGCCGGGTAGAGACCAGTCTGCTTAGGTTTAAAATTAATGTAGGGATTTATATAGTGGGACTCTATGACTGCATCTGCATAAAGAGGAGTGAGGTGTGCGTCGTTCGGACTAGGGGTATCCACTTATGGGAAGCTGCAAGTACAGTTAAATCTGCCAAAACTGAGCAACTGTGGTGCAGAACGACTGTCCACTTACGGACTGCCGGGAGAGATGCTTGTTAAATGGGGATCAAAATGCAGAGTTTGTTTCTAGTTTGTTTATATAGGCGTGGTTCATCAGTGGGTAGATGTCCGATACCAGAGGTTCAACTGTCTGCTATAAGAGTGTGTGTGTCCACTATAAGTGTGTGGATGGGACTTTGACTGAGTGTCCATTTGCAAGAGGTGCTTGCCTCCAGGAGATGTCTGAATTGACCGTAATATGAAGGAGAGAGAGCAAGAGAACCTCTTTCTCAATGCATATATTATTATAAAATTATGGACGGAATACTTGAACAGCAAATTAATGTAGTTATAAATGAGCTGCAAGTGGTTTCCAAAATACTCAAACACTCTGACTCTAAAATCTCCCCTTAGAATGTAGTAGACAACAAGCTGTATTTGGTGGATGTGACAGAACCTGTCCTCAAAAGAAAATACATCGCTCTCCAGATAAAGGTAAATTATTTTATGGTGATATAATTTGTTTTGAATTGTTCAGGGTGTAAGCTGTTCATTGGGTATGCATCTTCACTCTCACTCCCCCACCCCAACCTCCCTCTGCCACTCCACTCTCACCCATTTCTTTCTTGGCCCTCTAAGCCGTGGTCAGACCTTTCCAGGCGAAGCCTGACTGTTCACAGGCTACAGTCAGAACTGGAGTCATGATATGAGGACTGGGGATTAAACTGCACCTTGGTTTCCACTAATCACAATGGGTTGTAGGACTCTAGGGGTGAAATAATACTTTTGTCTGGCTTACAAGAGAAAGAGAAAATTACAGACATCATGACAGAGTGTTCAATTATGAGAGGTGTCTATTAATATTAAGGGAGATGCCCACTTTGGGGAGGTTCATTTTCCTAGGAGAGACATTGAATCCTATTTGGTGATTTCATCAGATGAACATATGGCAGTAGTATTCTTAGTTTATGGAGGTTTCTGCCAACTCATGGGAGTAGGGTCGGATCCAGGATTTTTCCAGGAATGGCATAACTGACTGGTGGGGTAAACAAATTTTACAAGTGAATGCAAAGAAGAAAGCTTCATCTCAGGAGGAGGGGGATGCACACCCCCTGTACCCTCCTCCTAGATGTGCCCCTGGGGAGGTGGACACTAGGGGAGTGGTCATACAGCGGAAGTTTCCAGTCAGGAGAGAGCCTGAGAGTGGTTTCCAGTTAAGGGAGGTGTCCAGCTAGTAAAGGTGTCAGCTTTTGGGAAAAATAACCGTTAGTAATAACACGTTGTGATTTTGCCTTGCTACAGTTACGGAACTTTGATACATCAATTAAAAGAGATCATGAGGCCGTCAAATCCCTCAAACAGTTACAAGAAAGGTAGGTGATAACCTTATAACAAGGAGCAGTTTCATGAAAGGTTTTAAACACGTGCGAGGTTTGACCTTTTCCAGTCTCAAAGAGTTAGATTCACCTTCTACAACAACATAAGACATGAAGGTACTGCTCAATAACTTTCATTTGAATTGTCTCACACCAGCGTTTTATCCAGAGACTCTAAAGTTAGAACCACCTTACACAGCATACTAAACAATACCTCATGAAAGTATTGCTCAATAGCTTTTATTTGAATGGTCACACTCCAGGGTTTCATCCACAGACTTGAAAGTTAGGACCACCTTGTACAGCATAATAAACAGNGCATAGCATAATAAACAGTACCACATGAAAGTACTGCTCAATAGCTTTCATTTGAATGGTCACACACTAGGGTTTCATCCACAGACTTGAAAGTTGGGAACACCTTGTACAGCATAATAAACAGTACCTCATGAAAGCACTGCTCAATAGCTTTTATTTGAATGGTCACACACCAGGGTTTCATCCACAGACTTGAAAGTTGGGACCACCTTGTACAGCATAAGAAACAGTACCACATGAAAGGACTGCTCAATAGCTTTCATTTGAATGGTCACACGCTAGGGTTTCATCTATAGACTAGAAAGTTAGAACCACCTTGCACAGCATGCTAGACAATACCACATGAAAGTACTGCTCAATAGGTTTTATCTGATCGCTGTCACTCTAATCAATCCAAATAAATTATTTGGGAACTGAGGGAGAAGACTTACAATTTAACAAATATATTTTTTAATAGCTATTCACAAAACCCATCATACGGAAATGCCGCAGAAGTCGAGGAGGATCTGTTAAAGCAAAAGAATGAACTGAGAGTTAAAGAATGGCTTTGTTCTGTTGCTAAGGAACAGGTAGGCTTGACAGAACTGCGAACTCTTACCTGGAAAAATGCTGGGGTAACTTATAACAGAGTAGCATGTTAACTGCCTGGCAGTAGTTGAGTCACTGGTCTTCGTTCAGCTACAACAGATAAATCAAAGGAGTTGTCATGTTCCTTTTATTGTTATTTAATACATTATTTTTAAGATCACAAGACGTAAGACGTATCATTTACCTTAACATTACCTGTTAGTATAAATCTACTAGCGTTCTATCACGAATGGTGTTCTCTGATTGGCTACGCTACTCACTACCTTTTCTGTTGTAGATAGTGAGTAGCGTAGCAGTGTGCGCTTGTTAACAAAATGGCGACCGATCCTTTGCGTCTTCGAAGTGTCTGTGAAGAGGATTTAGATAATTTACTGACGACTAGTAGACTTAGCTTATCGATTTCTTTGCGTGATAGTTGACTCGGGCTGCGCTCTGGTAAACTATGACCCAATATAAATCTCGAGCTCACAATCAACATGTAGCCATCGATACTTCTCGTGTTTTCTTTGCAGACTAAACTTTTCACAACGGAAGTTCTAAACAGACTTCAAGTCACCGAAGATGATCTCCAAGATGAAACCATCAGTGATGATGAGACTGTGGCAGAAAAATTGGACAAAAGGCAAAGTGTTGTCAGCACGAGAGGAAAGAAAATTAGGAAAGCTGGGCAACACCAGTTTGAAGAACACACGTTTAAGAAACCAAAATTCTGTTACTATTGTAAAGGACTCATAAAAGGTAATTTGTACATC